TATTATTATCATTTTTCGATTCTTCTCTTCCATTTCTTTATCTAGCTTTCTTTTCCTTTATGTCTCAATAGTTTGTTCTCTTTTTTTCACGATGTAATTGTGCAACGCGAAGAAACGTGTTCTGCACAATAAAAATATCCGGATGTAGCGATCCTTGTTGAATGCCAAACATGTTTAGCAAAATGATTTAGAAAAATCCAATTTGATCGCGTGTGACGTAAAACGACGGATAGAACTATACATCAGATATATGTCCCGAAATATCCCATACGTAAATAAAAACTCGGGTAAATACGATATATAAATACGATACGATTTTTGATGAGAGAGTTTTTAATAAAATCCGATTTTTAATAAAATCGATCTACGACATGTTTATTATCAAATTCAAATAAATTCTCATTTGTTTGTGAATAAACTAACAGTTCGGAGAAGTTCAGCTGAAGAAAAAAAAATCAGATTAATTTTATGCAGCATTTAGCTGGAAATCCTGAATCTCCTGTTTCACATTATTTATATTCACTGTATTATAATAGTATATTCTAATTAGTATAGTAATAAGATTAGTGATACAAAAATATTAAATATTAACATAATAAATATTATTAAACTTTCATATATCAGTTCAAGAATTAAAAAAGATATGATATTTAAATGATAAAGTTATGATACATGACTTTAAGATATTCTTTAAGATTTATTTATAAAAAATTATACATCTCACAGAGAATAGCATTCCCTACTTCGTCGGATCGTACGTTTCTAAAATGAATCAACAGTATGGACAAATAGATTTATTCGTGTGCATATAGATTATCGTCGACGCTATAATAGCACCTAAATCGAGGGGAGATTATTTCTATCGGATGATAACGATTGTTGCTCTTGAATGCACAGCGATAAATGGCGTGATAACTCTCGTTGAATCTATCATCGATATTCAACTCAGAGATTAAATAAACATAAATCATAAATTAAGCATCAATTATCAATTTATAGATAGACTGTGAAGCATGATTCTCGCGTGAT